TCGCCGCGCCCGCCCGGCTCCGGCCACCGCGTGGACCAGCCCCAGGCGCAGCGGCAAGTTCCTCCCCACGCCCGTCCTCCCGCCCGCGGCCGAGGCGGCGCAACGCCCTGCCCGGGTCCTCTCTGGACTCTGGCCGGCCCGCGCCCCTCCCGCCCCCGCGCCTTCCTTTCTCGCGCCCCCCCGCGCCGTACTTTTTCCCCTTCTTTTTCCCCGTTTCATTCAATCGCCCCGTCACTTCCTTCACTCTCCAGCACAACCACCCGCAGGGACCTGCCTTAAAGAGACAGGCGCCCCTCACTCTCCCGCGCGCGCTCCCTGCCTCCCCCGCCCTCCAGAAGGACGAAGCGCGTTCGCAGCTGGTCCCCAGTTGGAGGTGGCGAGCGCAATAAACCAGAAAAGGTTGGGGTGAGGGGAGCGGAGCGGAGCGGAGGAAGAAAGAAAAGTCGACTCTGCGTCTGGTAGGCGCAGGAATGCCCACACGCCGTCCTCTGCTTCCTACTAGCGCGCGTCAAGTTGATTTATGGGGAGAGGGGACCCTTCCCCAAATCCTTCATCAAGACCACCCCAGCACAATGCTCTATGCTTGCCAGAAATCGGATTCTTGAAATAAATGGGATCTAGTTGGGATTCCACCCAACCCCGCACACAGTAACACAGTGCTGATAAAATGCCTAAGAAGTTTACTGATGTACGAGGCAGTAAGTGTAGTGGTTAGAGCCTTGGGTTGGGATGCAGGAGATCCAGGGGACTTTGACCCATCCCTGACTCTCAGCCTAATCTACCTCACAGGGTTGTTCTGAGGATAAAATGTGGAGGAGGGCAATCACATAAAATCCCCAAAAAGAAAAAAAAGTGGGTTATAAATAAATGCATTTTAAAAATGACACCCCCACCCTCTGGCACCCTTTATTGCCTGCAGTCCCATCTGGGAATAAACTCGCTGACTCTGAGTTTAAGTAACAGCACACTGGGTAGAGTTTCACAGGATGCTGGGGCAGAGGCTGATACTGCACTTGACGTGAGAGATTGGGGTCAATGCCCTCCCGGCTCATAGGATGGATTAATTCAAGGCCATTCAAAGTAAATATTTTACTGTCCAAAGCAAAAGGCCGGGCACTGCTTCCTCATCACCCATTCCCTTTTCAGAAGGGGACTGAGCTGGCTGTTGGTGCTTATGCCAGTGTGGGTCCCCTCCTCTGTTTGATTTCCACAAGTAGCTAAGGATGCGGGGGGGGGGCGGTTAGCACTCCACTCCGTCCTCCAACAGAAGGGAATGAGTGGGGCACTCAGCAGAGACGGTGGGGGGCGCGGGAGCACCTGTCTCCTGCCACGCTTGCGAATAATAGGCCCATCCATAGATCCACTGATTCCAAGAACGTGTTTTTCAGCTTCCGGCAGAGAGAGGCACCAATTCCCGAGGACCGAAGCATAAAGCCATACTCAGCAGTAACTGGGCCTGGAATACTCTTTCCTCTAATAACCGAGCCAGGGTATTATTTTCGCTCACAAATTTAACACAGCGTCATCCACGAAGTCTTGAGGGAATTGCCCTCCCGCCCTCGTTGGCGTCCATTCTGCTGGTGCATTTCGAGAGATAGGAGGAACAAGAACAAAAAGCAGCGGGAGGCAATCACAGTCAGGACCCTTTGTTATGAATTCAGTTTTCATTCAAGGAAGGAAGCTGCTTCCGGGAAAACAAAACAAACAAAACAGGAAACAAAAGGCAACGCAGCACAACGCGGGCTGTAGGCTGTAGCTCCTTGGTTTCGCACCCAAATCTTCCCAGGTTTGGTCTAGATAAAGAAAAGGGCTGCACAAGCTTTCTGCCTTGACGGGCCACATCCAGTGCTGGTTGTGGACTCGGCAGCTACAAAGCTACAACCTGGGAAGGGGTTTCTCCAGTGCTGGTGCAGAGAACAGGCAGAATGAGCCCTGACTGGGACTGTGGCTTTCAAGGTGGGAAAGCGGCGAGCGCAGCTGTTTGGGGGATCCGCGTGAGTGGGAAAATACCCAGCGGTACCAGCCAGGGCTGCTGGCTTTTGCAACTATGGATCAGTTGTAAAGGCTCAGTTGTCTGGGGCCAAAGGTTGCCTCACCCAAGCCTGCAAGTGGGATGTAATGATTAATTGATTTTCTATTTATTGTGCTTTTAAACCACCCAATAACTGAAACGTTCTTGGTGGTATACAGTGCATTCAAAACAAGGTATATGCATCAAAATGAAACAGAAACAAAATAAAATCAAGATAAAAACCAGCAGGAAATAATAAAACCATAAAAGGATCTTAAATCCACCTTAAGTCTAGCAGCACACATAAAATGTCCAGGAAAATTAGCAAAGCATTTTCACCTGGTGCCAAAAAGTGCACAAATGCAGCTGCCCAAGTAAGCCTTTCTGTGGAGAGTATCCCACAAAGAGGGGGAAAGCCCTTCCTCTAGCACTTGCTAGAGTGCCTTCCATCATCCCTGCAAGCTTCATCCAGCCATCCAAGGAGCAGTGCAGGCAAGTGGCTGGAGAGACCCAGCAGTGCAAGAAGTGGGGACGACCCAAGCAAGCTCCGTGGGCAAGGTCAGGCCACTGGGCTGCCCTGCTCCCATTGGCAGCAGCCTGCCCAAACATGCTGGGGACTGAACTTGGGAGCAAGGGTTCTGGCATGTGGGATCAGCTGGTTCCACAGAACATTCCTTTTCCTGGCCAGTTGCCCTATTTGGAGAATGCAATTCCAGGGGTGTGAGGAGGAGAGGAAATCTCTCTGTGTGTTTTGCCTGCAGGACAAGTAAAAGTTCTGGGGAGGAGTTTTTAATTGAAAAATGGTAGGGTAAGGAGGGGAGGAAGCGAGAAAGGGAGCAAGAAGGGGGAATTAATGGTCCCAATCTAATCACAGCAACAGTGACTGGAAACAAATACATAAAAAATTCTGGTCATAGATTTCCCATGTCACAATGTTTCTTTCAGGGAGAAGTGTAGGCTCAACCTTTCTCCACAATCATATATTTCTTACATACAGGAAATTTTCTCAGGGAGCCACAACCAAACTGGCAGTCCCCTTTTCCTGCAATGGCACAGTCCAGGAAGAGCTTCACCACATGATGCTTGGATCTTCTGCATGGCTCCTGCTCTCCCCATCCATTCTGTTTCAGCAGGCCAACTACAGATTTCACTTGCTACCCCTTGAGAAGTCCAATCTCTCCTGCACCAGAGAACAGGGGACTCACATAGCAACCTCGATCGCGTCTGTATTGTATTTTGGGGCAGTCTCCTTCCACATCTGGATCTAACTACCAAACAACAGACTTTCTGTTGCAATGGAACACAAACCCTCCCTCCTTCCTTCCCTTGCCTCCGGACTTGCGTGCTTCAAAGGGCTCGTAGTGGCCAAGGTAAAATGTGTTGGCTTCCTTCCCCTTCATTCCAATGCCAGGGACCATTTCTTTGATGGCAAATAATTCCAAAGATGGCAAGCATTCCAAAGAGGCCTGCAGTTAACCCTGAATGAGCAGAGAAGGAGGGAGTGTGGAAGGGAGAAGGAACTGAAGGGTCCTAAGTCCTCGGATGCCAACCGCTTATGCATAATATGTAAATAGAACCTTTTGACTTGTGAGTGATAGGGCTAGATTTCAATCACTTTTCAGAAAAACTTAGAAGAAAAAAGTTTGCTCATGTGTAAATTGTCTGTAGGGGAGAAGGATCTGATTCGGCCTCTCTGAATCAGAATCCGTGGCAAAGATTGGCAATTTTAAAAATGGGTTGCGCTCCTTTCAGTCCATACTTAAGGTTGAGTACAGGCTGACAGATTGCATGAACTCTTCTCTGGCTCGGATAGGAAAGAAGGCTTTCAATTTTCTAAAAAATGTTGATTTTCCCCCTCAGCAATCACAAAAATGTTTTTATCTAGATCAAGTGGGGATATCAATTTCCTCCCTGAATGGAACAATAATTTGAAAAAAGCCGAGGAAGCCATTGCTTTCCAACAAACTGTTTATGAGAAAATTTCCACAAAGTAGACTGTAACTGCCCGGCTAAATTAAATTAAAGTCCACTTCCAAACCTCCCTAGACGGGGACAGTTGGGCTGCTGACTCTCACTCAGCAGACCGGGCTGTTTGGACTGCAAAAGGCACATTCCAAAGGCAGCCTTCTCTGTGTTGCTTCCACAGTGTGAGGGTCCCAGGCTGGGTTATGTGGTCTCTTGACTCTCTTGGCCCAGAGCAGAACAGCAGACCCAAAGAGCTTAGAAACATAGAAACACAGAAACAGAGCGAGTCAGAAGGGATCTCCCGGGCCATCTAGTCTGACCCCCAGCTCCAGCCAGCTCCGCTCACGACATGCCCACCATGTGCACGTCCAGCCTATCTTTGAACACCCTCACCGATGGGGCCTCCACCACCTCCCGTGGAAGCCCATTCCACACCCTCGGGATCCTAACATCAGGAAGTGCTTCCTGGCATCCAACTGGAACCTGGGTTCCCTGAGCTTTGCTCTGTTGGAGCGCATCCTACCTCCTCTGCAGGGGAGAACAGGTCATTACCCATCTCCATGTGACACCCCCTCACATACAGATCCCCTCGGAGTCTCTTCTTCTCCAGGCTGAAGATACCCAGTTCCCTCAGTCTCGCCTCATACCCCATCCCCTGCAAACCAGCCACCAACCTTGTGGCCCTGGCTTGCTGAGTCAGGCTTCCTCTCAGGTTTCTGTCTTTGTTTGGGTGTTCAAGGATGGTACCTACTAGGAGAGGCCCAAATAGAACATGAAAAAAATGAAACAGTCTCCCAATCATTGACAGAAACACTGAGGTCGCGGGGCTCCTTTCTCAAGCAGTCTTGCAGGATTAGACATGCATTCTGGAAACACATGATATGATGTTTGTTACTCAGTCGCATATGTTTTCCAATTTAGAAGGGATTTTGGAATTTTAAATGTCACGAATAGGGACGTGTTGAAACAAGGAAGTCCAGCTCAGTTGAGCTTGAAAGACTTCCTGGCTGTTCCCAGTATGAGGACTGGAAGTGGACTGAGTCAGGACTCCATGATTTTTCCATCTCCAAGAAAAGACTGCACGTTGCACAGTTCTTTTTAATGAACTATTTGAACCAATCACAGTATTAGCATATTTCACATGAATTATCACACAAAAAGCATGTAGATCTAATAGAATATGCATAGAAATATTCTTTTGGTATTTTTTAATTCCTGTATCATGACCTGCCTTAAAGATGGAAGTCCATCTCTAGCAAAAATCCTGGAGAGCTGCTGCCGGTCTGTGCTGACATTACTGGGCTTGATGGACCACGACTCTGACTGGCAGCTTCTATGAACCTAACCAATTTGGAACCCTCTCTTTGGTTGCAGGTGTGTCCATGTACTTGGGTGTCTTCATGTGGCATAGTTTTATGGGCAGAAATCAGAGTTTAGCCTCCACTTGAAGACCCTTGTCGAATAGGCTGCATGGCCAATGACTTGACTTTTGATGCTATTTTTCAGTGCACACCTGTGCAGCAGCAGCAGCTGACCTCTTCCTTCCCACGCTGCCAATTATAGCCATACTCCTGGCACAAGAAGCAGGGAACGAAGGCAAAAAACCTTCCTTTCACCAGCACTGCTCCAGTACCATTTGTACCCAGAAACGGCATTTGGCTGTTGTGATCAGTAGTGGCTCTTGAGCCAATCTCTGCCTCTTCCATTTTGTCTAATCATGTTAAAAGCCATTTAAGTGAGTGACTGTAATTACCTCTTGGGGTAGTCAAGTTACAGTGCAATTCTGGCCTCATTTACTCGGAACTAAGCCCTCCTGTGGGACTTACTCACTTATAAGTATGTTATGGATTGCAGCCTTCCTGATGCATTGTTCAGAATTCCCTTTATTCCATTATTTATTCAAATGGAGTCTGCAGGCAAGCCATAGGAAGATTGTGACTTGGAAGGGCAGCAATGAAGGAACTAGAAAAGACAAACGTATCTGAGGGTATTTTACTGGAGACCAAGGCCATCCACATTATTGTATTCTTGATCACTATGATTGGGTGTGAAAACTGGGCAGTGAAGACAACTGTCAAGGAGAAAATGGATGCATTCAGTGGAGGAGAGCTTTGCAAATGCCCAGAGCTGACAGAAAGATGAACAAGTAGGTCCTAAATCAAGTCAAACTGAAGCTTTCCTTGGAAGCAAAAATGATGAAACTGAAGCTTTCATAGTTTGGACTCATCATGAGAGGGCAAGAGTCACTGGAGAAGGTAATAATGTTAGGGAAGAGCAAAAGAAGCTGAAGAAGGGAAGACTAACTATGAGATGGATTGGTTCCATAAAGTAAGCTGCAGCCTTGAGTCTTTAAGGATTGGGTGGGCTGTCAAGAACAGGGCTTTTGGAAAGCACTTCTTCATAGGTTTGCCATAAGCTGGAGACGGCTTGATGGCACGTCACTACAATATGTATCCAGTTATCGATTTAGGTCCAGTGTTGTGTACATAGCCCACCATGTTTCCTCTTGCAAATAGCCCAGATTTATCCAAGGAGGGCCTATAGAAGGCACATTTTTGTTTGCTTCTCAGATTCCTAGATTATGTGAATTGGCCCCAGACCTTCTGTTATAAGTAGACTGAAAAGTGAAATACTGAATATTCTTCTTCTCCATTTTATTCTCATAACAGCCTTGTGAAGTAGCTGAGGCTGAGAGTTTCTGACAGGTCCAAGGTCACCCAGTGAACTTTGGGGCTGAATGGGGACTAGAACCCAGATCTAGAACCCTAGTCCCACTCCAACCACTGAGCTTCTTTCTGGCCAGTCCAAACCTACTGCTAATCGCTTGGGTCACCCCAAACTGTAGTCTTTTCAGAGAGAACTTCCTTTACCCATGACTTTTCGATACTGTCTTGCAATTTTACAAATCTCTACTGAGGCCTTTAAATCCTTACTCCAGATGGCTTGGATTGCAATGCCCATCAGCCTGAACCAGCCTGGTCCATAGACTGGGGTGATGGGAGTTGTTGTCCAGCACTTCAAGAGGGCACCTGATTGGCAAAGGCTACTGTAGCACATCCCCTTTGTAGGGATGCTTGCTGGGACCTTCCCAAATCCACTTATTATGTTGAAGTCCCTGGAAGACTCGAACCAATGAGCTGGATTGAAATACAGGCAAGTCCTGTGGATGTGGATAGTGATGGAGGCTCTAAACTGGGATATCGTGGGGAGCAGACAGACTCTCCTTGCTCGTCCTAGTGGTGCCTCTGCTGTATTTTTAAAAAAAGCATCCAGGTTGCAGATTGAATCGGTCATAATCCTTTTGGTTCCTCTCAATGCAGGCTTCAACCTCATTCCCCACCACTGAAGCCACCAAAAATTTACGACCAAGCCGTTTCTCTTCCCAAATAAAATGCGGTGTGGCTTGATGCTGTGGCCAAAAGAATCCCTGGGATGCGATCAGCAAATTGGGGGCTGGTAACCAAACCCCACACACACTGTATGCCTCTGTTGTAACCTTTGGAGATGGCTGAAGAGGCATGATGGATCTTGATGATGCTGAGTGATGGGATGCGCTTTGCTCACACTCTGGTGCCATTCAGCCCACCCTTGGTCATCTGTTCAGAAACCTTCACCTGGTTTCTGGAATATTTCTGCAGAGTTTCCCTTGGAAAAATCCTGGGTGGTCTGTTGATGGCAGAGCTGCCAGGAGAAAGCCCATTTGTAAGTGCCAGCAAGCAGTAAACAGAAAGTGAGAAGCTGCTGCTTATAATTTCTTTGGGTATGGAAAGGGCATAAGCGTCCATCAAAGCAGTTCCTAAGCTTTTTTGTGCACCCTTAGGCAAGGCAGCTTAGGCGGTCTCTCAGCAAGCTGGAATTAGTGGTACCGGGGCACTGAAGTGTCAATTTACTTGTAAATAGCAATTATTTTGCTTATTATGGTATTCTTACCACCACCATGGGAGTGCTGTTCAGAACAGCCTTCCCTGACTTGGTACCCTTCAGATGTTTCAGATGCTCAACTCCCATCAACCCCAGCCAGCATGATCAATGCCAAGATTTGTGGGAGCTGCAGTCCAAGACATCTGGAGGGTTCCAGATGTTGAGGAGGCACCAAAATGGGTGAGGCTCTCTCTATGGCCATGCCTAGAGGTGCATTTAGGCAAAGAGTTCAAGCATTACCTCTTAAAAGGCATTGTATGGCCATTGTTGGTTTTGTTTGGTCTATATGAAAGGCAGAATACAAGGAGGGCAGGAGGCACAAAGGAAGTCCCAGAGTGGAGTGATGCTTCTTACAGAAGGCCTTTTGGCACCCAAATCTACTCGATCCTTCTGGGCTGGCCAACAGTAGCCATCTCTTCTTCCCATCATCCAGGTGGAACAGCAGAGTTCTTGCCAGCCACCCATTCATCTTATGGGCAGCAGCTGACTTCTTGCCTGCCCACTGAATCCTCATTCCTGGAGCTTTCTTTGCCAGGTAGTGCTGGTGAATGGAGAATTTATCAGAACTTGGGAGACTCAGCAGTGTGAAAAAGCTGTGGACTGAGTAAACTTTGCTCAGAAAAGAACAGAAAATGATTCTTATGCAGCTCTATTCTGGGGAAGCCCACCTGAGGGATACAAGAACTAGGCATCGTTCAGGACCTTGAAAAGGTCCCTCCTGCACAGTGACAGCCCCTTCTCCCCTTTGCTGTCCCTGCCTGATCACCTACAAGCAAGGAGAACAATGCGAAGAGTGTCTGCTTGGAGCAGAAGGGCTTTGAAGGAGGGCAAGCGGAGGAGCAGCAGTGCCTGATGAGGAGAAAGCTTGAATCGAACCCCTCCCCCCACAGCCTGAGCCAATCTGGGCAATGGCATCTCCAGATGTTGCTCCCAGCAGCTGGAATTTAGCAGCATTCTGGCTTTGGTCCGGGAGCGTGCATAGAGCGGTCGTGACGAATGGCCCTCCGTGGATTGATCTTCCATGAATATGTCTAATTCCCTTTCAACTGCATTTGTGCTTGTGGCCGTCAGCACTTTCTCTTGTTTGTCCCAAATCTCCTGTCAACCAGTCCAAGCATAATGAGCAGCCCTGTTCTGGTGTTTGTTCAATACAGTGCACAGGCCTGGTGCTTTGGCCGGGGAGCAAAGGAGAACCGATGGGCAATGACCACGGCCCCCCAATGCCGTGAGACTTGCGGAGGGAGAAAGTACCTGTCTCCTTTCCCTGCGCTATGCCTAATTGTAGGAAATCATATGGCCCATGGGAGTCTTTCTGCCTCCCCAGAGGCTGCTTCAACTCCTGAATCTATTAATGCTCGGTGAGGTGCGTGGCACAGGAACTTTGCCCTAGCAATCTCGCCAGAGATGCAGGGCTTCCCTCTGCTGGCTGTTGCATGGTTAACTTGCTGGGAGTGGGAGGGACTCAACTGATCCCGTTCCAGGCCCGAGTGTTTGCTTTACGGACTGATCACAGATCTAAGCTCACATTTTTTCCTCCATCTCATTATAAACTGTGTTGTGGACTGCCAAGAATCCATCCGGCTGGTGATGGGAATAAAGTGAGCATTTGGAGACAGGTTCCGTACAACGGCTCATCCTTGCTGATTTCTGAAACAGCCCCCTCCGAATATGCCCGGGGCCCAATCAAGAGGGATAGCTAACATGACTTCCCGCTCCATCCCCCGCAACAGCACCAGTCCCGTCTCCCACCCTGGGTTTCCTCTGCATCCAAGCGCATGGATTTTATTTTACTGTGCTTGGGAGGGCTCTGGAAACTGGCCAGGGGACAATCTGTTCTTCGTTACAATCACCACGCAGTTTGGCGGCTCGTGGCCCTCGCCGCTGCTGATGTGGCACTTTGGGGATGGACGCAAGAGCCGTTCATCATCGTTCAGCTGGCCTTGGTGCCAGCTCTCCCGCTGCGGGACTGATAAAACACAAGGGTGAAGGCGGAAGCCCACATCTGCCAGGTCAACCTCTTCCCCTCCCACTATCATCCCCTTGGCAGACAGCCAGGAATAGCAGCCAGGTCTCCAGTAATATTTTCCTACTTCCAGTACTTTTTTCTTTTATTAAAAAGAGAAGTGCACCCCCATCTTTTCAGTACTTTGCGCTGGGTTTCCAAAACGTGTCCATCTCTGTGTTGGCGTTCCCTCCCTCTCTCCTTTCCTCCTCCTTCTCCTTCTCCTTCCTTCCTCCCATCCACCTGTCCTCTTTGGTTTTTCAAAGCCAGGATCCCTTTTTCCTCCCAGTACTGTCAATCAAAATCATAAGCAATACCACTTTTACTGGCAAGCTGAGCCTGAGTCTGTGACTCAGAGAAACCTGCTTGGAGCCTTTAGCAGACCTGCTTTATGAGATGCAGCTGGGCAGGTCACCAAGTGCAACAGCAATTTCACCATGGGCTGTGTTGCCTCTTGCTTTATCTCCCCACTCCACTGCTTGCACCCCATTGTCTTACCCTGATGGGGAGAAGATGCCTGGAAGGTGGAGCACAAAGATCTGCATGAAATGTCAACAGTTTTCTTTTTCAATTGATTAATTATCTGACTTTCAACTGGATCACAGATCAATTATATCCCATCAAATGTTCCCAATGCAAAACCTTAATGAAGTGGGGTGGGACAAGGTTGGAACCCATTCCGGGTGCTTTAGACAGATGTAAGCACATCTTGCTCACTTCCTGGGTGTAGGGGTCCAAGTGTCTTGCTTTACAGTCCTCTCTTTCGGAGAGCTGACAAGTCACCTTCAAATTCCTCTATATGAAGGTGTCATGTCCTTTATTTAATGGGCAGCATAGTCCAAGTTTGGTTTAAAGTCAAGATCAGTATGAGCCTCTAATTTTTATCCCATTTCTATCTTGACTTTTTTCCTCTTTTAAGGGACCAAAGCCAGCTTACAGGTCCTCCTGCTCCCTATTTTATCATCAGTACAACTGTGTGAGATGGGTCTGGCTGACAAGAGTGACTTGCCCAAAGTAAGCCAGTGAGGTTCAGAGCTGAGCAGGGATTAGGGCCTAAGTTTCCCAGCCCCACAATCAGCATTTTAAGCTCTGCACCACACCGGCTTTCAAAAATGCTTAAAGTACAATACTCAGCAATGCTTAGCATCTGGACAGACAGACACACTGCTCACTTTTCTCAGCCATGGCGGGATGCAATGTGTTTCTATTGAAATCACAGCCATTATTTCTGAATCTGTACACATGCATTTTTTATTTTATGCATTTTTATTATTTTATTATTTATTTTATGCTTATGCATATTTTTATGCATGTGTTTCGCATTTCACGACTAGCAACGGCAATTTTTATGCAACTAGGTGCCCTCTTTTTCGAGATGCCTTCTCTCTTGTTTGGCAAAGTATAAGTTGCTGCCATACTTCAGTTCCTGCTCTATGAAAATATTGCACTCCTAGAAATTTCAGTATTTGCAAGTGCAGAGGCATTTTAGGAAAGATCTGCCTACATATTAAAATGGCTTTGAAAGTTGTTCACACTAAAAGCATTCCTCCATGAAATTCCGCCTATGTTCTCATCATTCCTTACTATCGGCTGTTTACAGACACTTTAGGAGACACCAGGGCCTTCTCGTTTTACTTCTGTTTTTAGAGGAGGTGGTGTGTGTGTGTGTTTTAGAGGAGGGAAAATGTAGTATAGTTCTTTTTAAAATGAAAGCACAGCTTTTCCACTTCTGTATTTATACTGTTCCGTTATACCACAGTGC